TAGTCGAACGCGGTCTTCGGACATGATTGAGTAGTGGATACGGAAAATTTTACGGAATTCACCTAAGAACTATATTTAATCTGCAAGTTTCGTGCAAAAAGATGGTTACATTAATATTTGCTCATGTTCTATATTTCTAATTGTAAACTCCTAGTTTTAACTGTTTGAGTAATACTTTTCTGTATATGTTGTTTGCGAATGAATTCAGTCTGCATGGCATGTGCTCCAAAAATTAGCATCTCTGTTTTTGTAGCTATGGTCTATAGAGCGCTCTGAAATCAAAACCAGTGCGCGGAAAGCCTCTTCGAAGTATGGGAAAGGCTAATGTTGTTCGTCTCTCTGCTGAGGCCTGTGAAATNTAAAAATAATAAAAATAGTCGTCGTGGTTCACGTTCTCCGAACAACGCAGAATTTGGTCATTTCTGCCGTTGTTGTCTTGCAGAGGACGGCAAAGAAATGTACCAAGAATTATAACGCACGTGTACAGCCATTGTGTTGCTCATGAAACCTTTTGTTTAGCGACGTTCCCGTTGCCGTTGCCGTCGTGGTTTGCTTAAACTCCCTAATAAGCGACAATAGTCGAACGCGGTCTTCGGACATGATTGGGTAGTGTATACGGAAAATTTTATGGAATTCACCTAAGAACTATATTTAATCTGCAAGTTTCGTGCAAAAAGAAGGTTACATTAATATTTGCTCATGTTCTATATTTCTAATTGTAACTCCTAGTTTTAACTGTTCTAATTATACTTTTCTGTTTATACTGTTTGCGAATGAATTCAGTCTGCATAGCATGTGCTCCAAAAATTAGCATCTCTGTTTTTGTAGCTATGCTCTGAAATTAAAACCAGTGCGTGGAAAGCCTCTTCGACGTATGGGGAAGGCTAATGTTGTTCGTCTCTCTGCTGAGGCCTGTGAAATGAATAAAGAAAACTAATATTATACTAGGTAAAAAGAGGAAAGACAAGCAGTAGCCTGAAATGTCAGTCATCACCTGCCCTCAGCCTGAACGTCTCTCGTACTGGATTAGGCGGATTACTAACATTTCAAGTTAGACAAGCGGATGTACATAAAAAAAAAATGAGAGAATGAACGAGAAGGTAATGGAATACCACGATCTATAGACTAGTAGCGTTTTCCTTTTACCTGTACTAGTGTCAAACCACAAGACTGGGCATTCAGTCACCGTTGAACTTTTTAATGTTCAGGCATTAAAAAGCAGCTTTTTAATTAATGTTCGGAATCAACGAGGGCATAGAAAACTGTTAAATACGCTGTTAAGTTAACTAAACAAGACAAATACCTGTTATAAAACATCCTCAGCATCTCGCCTTTCAATTTTTCTGAGCGTCTATGTTTATGACCAATTCCAAACCGAGAGTGGAGATAATGGGTTCTATATGGACCACCGGGACCTGGTAATCAAATAAGTAACGTGAATTGTTTAGGGGTGGACCATTTGAATTTTAAGGGGAATTGGTGATTTTGAAAAATAAATATCTGGCAAGCATACTTGTACCAAAACAAATCATTGCACAAGACCACTGACGGAAAAAAGTGCGCACGTTCAGTGAGCTAAAAAAAGCATTTGATATGGACTGATGGAGAAGAAGGTATCATGCAAACACAAATTCCGAGAAAAAACGTTGCGTGACAGAGAGAGGGCCAGATCTGGATGGACTAAGGTTTGCTCAGTAAAATGTATGCACCCACCTCCAATCACTGATGGGAAGTCTGGATGATCATGCATGTAGACTCCTCTACTGTGATCCACTATGCAAAAAAAAATTACTTTACATTACAGTACGATTTTGTAAGACTAACCAAGCTAAAGTCTCTCATTTCCCCATTGGTTCAACAGTAAAAGAAATTTCTCCAGCTTTTGCAAGAGCTAGCATCGTCTAGCCAGCAAGCATTCTTTTTGGTTGGTGCGTCAAAGCATACTATGCTCTGTATATTTTTCTAGGTTTCCCTATTTTCCCCGCACTTCTGCCTCTCATGACTAATATAATAAAATTAATAAGTCATGGAAACAATTTAAAGTACCGGAGGAGAGATCTCACTCGCACCTGGAAGCAAATAATAATATTCATATATGTCATAATATTCAGTGTACCGCAGGAGGCTACTGGGAGCTAGTAACCTTTAACTTAACTTTGCCTCTCTCCCGCAATTACCGACCCCTCTACCCTGCCACCCCTCCCNGACAAATACCTGTTATAAAACATCCTCAGCATCTCGTTTTTCGATTTTACTGCGCGTCTATGTTTATGACCAATTCCAAACCGAGAGTGGAGATAATGGGTTCTATATGGACCACCGGGACCTGGTAACCAAATAAGTAACGTGACTTGTTGAGGGGCTGACCATTTGACTTTTAAGGGGGAGTTGGTGATTTTTAAAAATAAATATCCTGCAAGCATGCTTGTACCAAAACAAATCATGCACACGACCTCTGACGGAAAAAAAGTACGCACGTTCAGTGAGCTAAAAAAAGCATGTGATATGGAGAAGAAGATATCATGCAAACACAAATCCCGAGAAAAAACGTTGCGTGACAGAAAGAGGGCCAGATCTGGATAGACTAAGGTTTGCTCAGTAAAATGTATGCACCCACCTCCAATCACTGATGGGAAGTCTGGATGATCATGCATGTAGACTCCTCTACTGTGGTCCACTATACAAAAAAATTTACTTTACATTACAGTACGATTTTGTAAGACTAACCAAGCTAAAGTCTGTCGTTTCCCCATTGGTTCAACAATATAAGAAATTTCTCCAACTTTTGCACGATCAAGCATCGTCTAGCCGGCAAGCATTCTTTCTGGTCGGTGCGTCGGAGCATACTATGCTCTGCATATTTTTCCAGGTTTCCCTAGTTTCCCCACACTTCTGCCTCCCATGACTAATGCAATAAGACTAATAAGTCATGGAAACAATTTAAAGTACCAGAGGAGAGATCTCACTCGCACCTGGAGGAAAAAACATGATCCTCGTCATAATATTCAGTGTACTGCAGGAGGCTACTGGGAGCTAGTAACCTTTAACCTAACTTTGCCCCTCTCCTGCAATTACCGACCCCTCTACCCTGCCACCCCTCCCCCCTTACCCCCTTTCCCCCAAATAACAACCTGTCAATTTTCTACATCTAACTTATAAACAGACAAACTACAATTTTCAAAGATTTCTCAAGCCAAACCTCACATAAGGTGACTGCCTAGGCCTCAACGCGAGAAAAATATTTATTGACCTCTAATATAAAAGGAAAGCCACTATGTTTTCTGGGGGAATATTCCATATTATTCTATATTAATGATATTAAATGATCCTTTTCATGGCAAGATCGCCATTATTGCTGGACGAGAGCAGAATCAAAGGTGACGTAAACGACGGTGTTAGTTTAAGCATTCTCATGCCAAACAAAAATAATTGCCAAACAATTGCGGGAATAATGAAATACCGCAAACATCGTATTTTTAATTTGTTTTATCGAACCACCGTGTAAACGTCCTCTATAAAAAATGTTATATTTTCCTCTTCAATGTTCACGACACGTGCTGATATTGCGATTTATTGTTTTAACCACGACACAAGAACTCGACATACAGGTTCCAGTAGAAGAAAAGCAGGTAGTTTATCTTACCTGTGTTAGCTGTTGTGAATATTAAAAACAAGACAGTCGACTGGAGAACAACTTTAAACAACATCTAGGGATTAAAAACAATTAAACGATAAAAGTTCTTGCTGTTAACTGAGCAGTACTGCTGGAGATGGTGGAGACAAGACTGGCTGGGAAGATGAAATGAAAATTTACGACAGTGGAAGCTTTTCAAACAACTGTGACAGCGTAGATTATGTAAATGTACACAGACGAAACAATCTCTACCCAAGATCCAGGCTATTACCTGTAAACTGATAACAGTCAGTTATTCTCCAACTGAAATATGAAAGTTTGGCCTTAAATGACAATTTTTAATTTTGACCTCACATAGCCAAGTAGCAAAATCGAAGTACGTAGAACCTTGAATAAGAAAAACTGTTAAGAGTTGCTGGTTTCAACACCTTTCTCATTTCTGTTACCTTAATTAATTATAATTGGCAGTAATTATCGTTGCTATATCGGTTCATAAAGCCTGCAGTACAGTCCCCACTTATTTTTTTTGGAATACTTGCGTCAGTAATCTTGAGTTGTTTTGAGTAATCCTGTTTAAAGGAACTCAGTCACAGTATTTTGAGTTATTTTAGCCACGTACAAAATTACCTTTCAATTGAAGGAAACCTGAAAATAATAGTTTACTAAAATAGAAAAACATCAAAGAGATAATAATAAACCAGAAAGGAATAAAAATGTTAAGGATGGAGAAGATCGACACGGATTACAAACGATGAACTTGAAACATTTAGCCTACACTTTGCAAC